GCCGCGTTTCTTTTCTCGTTGACCCCTCCAGATGCTGTCTCTTATACACATCTAGATGTGTATAAGAGACAGGCACATAATGACACGTGTATGCGTGAGCGTGCGCATGCCCGTGCCTCTGTGAGGGAAAGAGGAGGCAATCTCACTGCGTCTTCTCTCTGTCTCCTCGCTGTTCCCTCTCTCTTCTCTAGGAATGCTGCCATATCTGCTTTTCATGTTGTCCTCTCTCTCTCCCTCTTTTCTTCTTTTGCCCTCCCTCCGGACGAATAAAGTAATTAGGGGAGAAAATAGACGACCAATCTCTTCGGAGAGTAATTAGTAATTACGTGTCTGCCTAACTAATCAGTTATAAAAGCCTGCGGTATGACTATGCGGCCAAGCAAGCAGATCGGCCTGTCACGTTTGAAGTGAAGATATCTTAAGTTTCCCGCCATTTTGATATCTTAAGTTCCCCGCCATTTTGATATCTTAAGTTTCCCGCCATTGTGATATCTTTGATTTCCCGCCAGTTTCAGTTTCCCGCCATTGTTATATTTTTCGTTTCCCGCCATTTTTATATCTTTCGTTTCCCGCCATTTTTATATCTTTAGTTTCCCGCCCTTTTTATATCTTAGTTTCCCGCCATTTTTTTTATCTTTAGTTTCCCGCCGTTATTCTGTTTCTGTTACATCGCGATGTCTCGCACGGCGGCGGGAATGCTTGTTTCAGCGCCGCCGCTCTCCCCGGCATTTCATGTGACGACAACGGGACGTGGAGGGAGAGATGACGTGGCAGGCGAGCAGGCGACACGTCATCGGATCGTGAGCTACAACTCCTGGCGGGAGCGAGCGCGTCAGTTTGCGCGGGAGAATAACGCACAGGGTGTTGCCGGAGAGAGGGAGTTTATTACAGGCTCCCTGGATCTTGCGACGTGGCGGTTATCACTCTCGCGGCCACGTCAGCAGCGGCGGCGGGGGGTCCCACCCCCCCGAGTTGGTCCTTTACAGGAATCAAGGAGGACTGGCAGCACTTCACCCACCTCCTCCTCCTCCTCCTCCTCCTCCTCCTCCTCCTTTTCTCCTTCTACTCCCTCCCTCCTCTCCGCCGAGCCTCATCTCTCTGCTGGAAATCGACGGCAATCCTTAGTCGCCGCAGCGACCACCTCCGTCTCCCAACCAGAGCTTGACATGAGTACCTCCGGTCAATTAGCGTTGACGGAGCGAGGAAGATGCATCATCGGGATCGGCGATCATTACTTCGCAAACGACAAACGACCGATCGTTCTGTTCGACGGTACGCTCAATACCCCTCCCCTTCCCCGTATAATAAGGCATGTACATTTTTATTCATTTATCTTCTTTTTTTTTTGTGCATGACCATTCTAAGAAGCGTCACAAAAAGATGCACTCAAGTCAAGGGGAAAATCACAAAACTATATCCACTTAAGTCTGTGTATAGAGGCCGATTCTCGGTCCAGAAACGTCCTTTTTTCTATATTCGCTCTGTTCGGGAACGACGAGGGCTGGTTATCTGTTTCCCTCTCGACAACAATATGCAAATAAGACTGTGTATAGAGCCGGTCTCGCCCCAACACATCCATATTCCCTATGTTCGCTCTGTTCGGTATCGACGAGGACTGGCTATCTGTGTGCTCTGTTGGCAACCGCTCCCGCCTCTCTCTCTCTCTCTCTCTCTCTCTCTCTGTCTCCTGTCTCTTATACACATCTAGATGTGTATAAGAGACAGGTGTGTGGCGGGGGGAAGGAGGGACAGGTGGAATGTATTGTGCGGACTGCACAGAATCTGAGTGACGCTCTTCTTAGTGCGCATCAGGAGTTGTC